GTGAAGTCTTCGTAGGGTTTAGGGTTTAGGGTTTGGGGTTTCAGGGTTTAGGGTTTTAGTGTTTAGAGTTTAGAGTTTAGGGGTTTATGGTTTAGGGTTTGGGGTTTTAGGGTTTAGGGTTTTAGGATTTAGAGTTTAGGGTTTAGGGTTTAGGGTTTAGGGTTTAGGGGATTTAGGGTTTAGGGTTTAGGGTATAGGGTTTAGGATATTTAAAATTTAGGGTTTAGGGTTTAAATTTTATAATTTAAAATTTAGGGTTTAGGGGATTTAGGGTTTAGGGTTTAGGGGATTTAGGGTTTAGGGGATTTAGGGTTTAGGGGATTTAGGGTTTAGGGTTTAGGGCCTAAAGAATTACCGATACTATTTTTGAGGGTTCCCTAGTATATTTATGGCATAATGGGCCCCAATAAACCCTATTCGAATTCTTAAGGCTCCTTAAGTGTAGAAATCCACTTAATGGAAACCTTGGGTCTGTATTCGGGCTCTTTATATTCCTGTGGATCCTAAGGTTTAGAGTTTAGGGCCGTTTAGGGTTTAAGGTTTAGGGTTTAGGCCACACTGGCCGGCTGAGTCGATGGCTGCTGACCGTGTCATGGGGGGAAGCGGGTCGAAGCCGGCGCCATACTCAGACCCTACCGTTGATGGTATAAATCCTGCATTACCTTAAGGACCCTAAACTATATCCGAATTATGGTATGGTCCTTACTGTGGGTAATGCAGGATATATACCATCAACCGTAGAATTCAGGCCCTTACAGAAGAAGGGAAGTTCTTCATCAAGGGTTTACAGTCAATAGCCTGGGGCTTAACCCAGCAAACCTTAAATTCTAAACCCAAACCTTCGACTTTAACATCTTGACGACCCCTCCGCAACCTGAACCTTCAACGCTAAAGCCTGGAAGAATGACCTCTTAACCTTGAGCCCTAGACTCCCTAATACAGGGGCCTTCATAATTAGAATAGGGTTTTAGGGTATATTATACTATAATTGTAGTAAGGAACCCGAAAAATACTATAGGTAATTATTTAGGCCCCTATAGTAGACGCTGTCATAATGATCAGAGCGCTTTGAATCTGCGGCCGTAGCAGGACAGCAGCGCTACTCGGCACCGCGGAACCGGCCCTGACTGAGGCGCAATTTGTTGAGATCCTGGTTCGAGACTACTTGGAGGTTCAGGGGGTAGTTATAAATAGGGTTATGGGGTTCCTCTCAAAGGTTCTATAGGGTTTAGGGTTTAGGGGTAGTTAGAAGTAGGGTTAGAAATCCCCTAATATGGGTTATAAGTACAGTTACCCCAGTTCTAACTACCCATGAACCCCCAAGTCGGACTCCCAATGGGCCCTTATTCCCTTTTTGCCGCCTTACGTTCCTTAAAAAGCTACGCAATACCCAAAAGGGAGTCCTTTTTTTTGATAGTTTACTGGGGATCCTAGGAGAGTTCTGAGACCCGAAATCATCAGAAAGAGTATCTCTATTGCAACTAATGTAGGGGCCTATATAGTTACCAATACTATTTTGGGGGTTCCCCTTTGATGCTTATAGCATAATGGGCCCCCAAACCCTATTTTGATTACTAAGGCCCCTATATGACCGGAAGCTCGCACAACGAAGTCGAGGCCGAACTGTTCGAGCTAGTCGCGACTCTTTCTGCACACGACTTTCTCCTACCACTCCGCTGCCCAAGTTCAAACAGGGGGAGATAAAGAGCCAAAACCATTTAGGGTTTAGGGGTTTAGGGTTTAGGGGTTTAGGGTTTAGGCCAAAAACCACTCTCTCTCACTCCCAAAACCCTCCAAAACGCCTCAACAGAAGTCTCCTTCAAAACCGAAGAACCTAAACTCTAGATCCTCTAAGCCCCACCTTAAACCCCAAAATCCTTAGGGAACCGACGAAGCAGGCAGTGGCCAAAGTCGTACCGAGCGGCACCGTTCTAACAGACGCTTGGTGATTTCTTGATCCCTAAACCCTAAACCCCTAAACCCTGAACCCCTAAACCCTAAACCCCTAAACCCTAAGCCCCTAAACCCCTAAACCCTAAACCCTAAACAATACGGTGTGGGATTTGCGGGTGCGGGTGTGGGGTCTTGGGATTCTGGCAGTTTGGGGTGTAGTTTTCCAGAGAACCCAATACTCCTTACTTAAGGAATAGACCTTAAATCATAATGTTAAGGCCACTATAATTTAAGGTATGCTCCTGAATTAAGGGGTATTGGGTTCTCTGGGTAGTTTATTCGTGCTTTCACCCTCGAGTTTAAGATGTCGAGTTTGGGATCTGGGGTGTGTCATGCGAGGGTCGAAACGCCCTAGCCGCCCACGCGATGCTCTTGCCCTGAGAACCCAATACCCCTTAGTTAAGGAATATACCTTCAATTAATAGGGGCCCTAATAATGTGATTTAAGGTATATTCCTTCATTAATAAACTAAGGGAAAATATATACCCTTACTATTATGGTTTAAGGTATATTCCTTAATTAAGGGGTATTGGGTTCTCTGGCAGGGTTTCGGGTTGTTCTTTGGCCCAAGGACCTGTCGTTCGCTCAAGCGAACCAAATCCCAACACCCGGAACCCGATCGAACACAGAAGCCTGAATAGTTATTTGTTTGGTTCCTCTATCTATCTATCTATCTATCTATCTATCTATCTACCTATCTATCTATTTACCTATCTATCTATCTATCTATCTATCTACCCATCTATCTATCTATCTGTGCATCTAACTATCTATCCATCTATCTATCCATCTATCGATCCATCTATCTATCCATCTATCTACGCATCTATCTACCTATCTATCTATCCATCTATCTTTCTATCTATCCATCTCTCTATCTATCTATCCATCCATCCATCCATCCATCCATCCATCAATCTATCTATCTATCTATCTATCTATCTATCTGTCCATCTTTCTATCCGTCCATCTATCTATCTATCTATCTATCTATCTGTCTATCTATATGTATACATACGTGTATTATATACAGATGCAGGATATATTATAAATGTATGTGTGTATGTGTATGTGTGTATATATATATATATACATGCATGTATAGTATGCCCTCAAACCCTAAACCCTAAACCCTAAACCCTAAACCCCTAAACCCTAAACCCTAAACCCTAAACCCTAAACCCTAAACCCTAAACCCTAAACCCTACCATCATTGTTCTTCAGGCCCCTGCCCAGAACTCCGAGCTTGGACCTCCCACCCCCACCCCCGGCAGTAGAATCAGTAGAAAAAGAGGTTAGGGTTTAGGGTTTAGGGTTTAGGGGTTTAAGGGTTTAGGGTTTAGGGTTTAACTAATTACCAATACTATTCTGGGTGGTTCTTTATCATAATTATAGTATACAATACCCCAAAACCCGATTACTATGTTGGGGGGTTCCTTGTTCGACTTGTAGTACAATATACCCCAAAACCCTATTCTTCTAATTCTTAAGGCCCAGGCAGTAGAAAAAGAAAGGAGCTCCCAAGCAGACCCAGGGGTTGAGGGATTGAGGCGTTTAGGGTTGAGTGGTTAGGGTTTTAGGGATTGAAGGTTTAGAGTTTAGGGTTTGGGGATTGAGGGATTCAGGGGCTTAGGGTTGAGGGTTTGGGGCTTAGGGTTTAGGGTTCAGAGGTTGAGGGGTTTAGGTGTTTAGGGGTTTAGGAATTGAAGGTTAAGGGTGTTCGAAGGCCTTCAACTGAAGTCAGCCGCTTAGGACTTGGCATCTCGGCTTGCCGACGACGAGGCCTTGCCTCGCTTTTGCTTCGTTGCTTTGGTTTGGGGGTTTAGGGGTTTAGGGTTTAGGGTTTAGGGTTTAGGGTTCAGGGGTTTATGGTTCAGGGTATATAGGAGGGATTCTGTAACGGCGGACTGTGGGCACGCGCTCCGGACGCAAGGCATAAATGGCATAGAAATCACCTGATGGGCTACAAGGGGCAGCCAACTAAGAACCGTTTCAAATGCACAAAACAGGTTGCTCTCAGGTGTTTGCGGTTTCGGTATTCGTGGATGTTGATTGCGATTTCGGGCTTAGGGTTTGGGGTTGGTTTGAGACCTGAGGCGTACGCGGGGGGGGGGGGAGAATGGAAGAGCTAATGGGAGGTGGAGCATGGGTTTTAGGGGGAAGCTTGATGCAACCGTTATAGACTAAACCCCCAGGCAGAATTTTTTGGATGCCGCAGTAGACCTAGCTCCAAGTGCCTAGACTGCTCTATCCCTGAAACCCCGAAACCTAAAGTTTTTCAAGCCTTACATAGCATATAAGGGTGCTATAAGGATAGTATGAGGATACTGCAGGGGGGCTATAACACTACTATAGGGTTACTCTACGGATTCTACACCAACTCGAGACTTACGCGTTTCCGTGCTCAGGCATCCGTCGCCAGTGCACTGGCGGCGGCGGCTTGGCAGCAAGCATTCTCCCCTGAACCCCCGATCCCCTAAACCGACACGCCCTTGAACAAACCTATTACAGCCCATACACGTCTCAACGCTAGCCGCTAGTCCTCCGAATAAATCCTTTTAGCAAGCCCTTGAAAACGGTCGTATAGATTCCTATGGAAAACCGCTTGACAAGTTCTAGACCTTGTTATGGGAACCTTGCGCGAACCCTTGAAGATCACATTTAGAACCACGAACTGAAGATCCGTGCTACGACTGTCTGGTGCTTAGTAGGGAATGGGGGAATGGGTCCCTATGATAGTCCCTTAAGGTCCCTTATAGTACTCCCTATAACCCATTCCCCCATTCCCTACTACGCACCAGACAGACGACGACGTGAACACCAGCGTCGATCGAGCCCTCAAGGCTGCGACTCCTCCGAACCGTCCGGATCAACACCGACGAAAGAAAAAAGGCCGTTGGAAGCTGGCCTGCAGAACGGCCTGGGCCTTCGCCAAGAGGAGCATCTCCTGGACTTTTAGGGTTTAGGGTTTAGGGTCTAGGGTTTAGGGCTTAGGGTTTAGGGTTTAGGTCGGTAGCAAGCCGGCCGGAGCAGCCGTGCTGGGAGTGGGCGGAGACGTTCGCAGGCATCAGCATGTCGGAGAAGGCCGCGACGACTTCGAAGAAGCTGACGGCTTAGGTCAGGTCTTTCGTGGCGTACCGACAGCAGTTGACGATCAGATTCTGTACGAGATGTCGTCCAAGGGCCGGGTGTGCTCAGCGAGGGTGACAGCTGAGGCGGGAAGGGTTCTTAAGTTCGGCTAATATAGGGGCCTAAATAATTACATATACTATTTTGGGGATTCCTTATTGTAATTATACTATACCCTAAACCCTATTCTAATTATTAAAGCCCCTAGATTACCCTCAAGGGCCCTTTGGAAGTCTACGGGCAGACGGAAAATAGGCGCTCAACAAAAAGCTCGCTTACGCTCAACCCTGAACCACTAAACCTTAAACCTCTAAAACCTTAAACCCTAAACCTTAAAACCCTATGAACCTTAAACCCTAAAAACCTTAAACCCTAAAAACTTCAAACCCTTAAAACCCAAAATCCTTAAACCCTAAAACCCTAAACCCTTAAAACCCCTAAACCCTTAAAACCCTACACCCTAAACCCCCTAAACCCCTAAAAATCTTAAACCCTTAAAACCCTAGACCCTAAAAACCCTAAACCCTAGAAGCCCTAAACCCCTAAATCCTAAACCCCCTAAACCCCTGAAAACCCTAAAACCCGAAACGCTTTGACCCTAAACCCCTAACACCCTAAAAACCCTAAGCCCATAAATCCTAAACCCCTAAACCCCTGAAAACCCTAAAACCCGAAACCCTTTGACCCTAAACCCCTAAAGCCCTAAAGCCCTAGACCCCCAAACCCCTAAAATCCCTAAAACCCGAAAGCCTTTGACCCTAAACCCAAAAGCCTTTAACCCTAAACCCTTTAACCCTAAACCCCTAAAGCCCTAAAGCCCTAGACCCCTAAACCCCTAAAAACCCTAAACCCCGAAACCCTTTGACCCTAAACCCTTTAACCCTAAACCCCTAA